GATAATGACAAAAAAGTAGCCATTGATAATATCTAAACAATATGTAGTAGTATAGTATATAGTATCCAAATCAAAATGTAATAAAATTAATTTATGTGTGATTTATGTGTAAGTTATGTGCAATGTCTTAGCCACTAGGGATTGTTACATAGGGCTATACAGGCATCTAGTGGCAACACAATGATATTACAGATACTAAATTGTGCAAAATGTTTATCTTAAGTCAATTTACAAATAATGCATTCAGATTTGTGGAACTCAATGCACTGAATCTCCACAAATTAGTGTCGTTACTATGACAACCAATTTGAATGTGACAAGCAACCGGTTTCTGAAAATGGTTTCTGAAAATAATTATATATAATTATATATATAATTATATATATATAACAATAGGGATTTCGCCTAGGGCGTCAAATTGGCTAGAAACAGCCCTGTTCACATCGATTCAGATGTCAAAAGGTTACATTTAATTTACCTAATTAAAATTAACTAATGCAACAATTCTTTCACATTTTGTCTTAATTTCAATCCATTTACATAATATGTGATGGGACTATGTGAATCAATAATATTTGTAGCATCAGAGTATTGTTGAAACTGCACTGAAAAAAAAATGTTGCATTAGAAATAGTATGTTTATAATGTTGCATTAAGTATATATTTAGTTCAACAATTTGTGTAAATTCATGAAATATAAATGACATGTAGTTAATACTAAATAGAATTAGTAATGCTAATCACGTAAGAATGTTTTGTTTTCTGAAGAAAAAAAAAAAAAAAAAAGAGATAACCTCAACATTTTTCCCCAACATAAAAACAAGACAAAATGTTGGATTCCACATGCTCTGTGTCTGAACTGTTTGTGAATGTGTTTCCACTTTAATCACAGCTTTATTCCCAAACTGGCAAAAATTAGACAGACGTCTGTTTACACCTAGGTATTTAGGTTGTATTCAAGAAGTACAAAAAAATGAATAAATAAAAAATTAGCATTCAGGATTTATTTTTTTTGTTTGCACGAGAGCAACTTCAAAGTGAGTGTATGCTTTGGACAGAAGGACAATTGGTCTGGGACTGTTCTCAAGGGGGTCTACAGTCAAGATGCAAATACAGACACTGTCCATTATAGGTTTGAGAGCAAGCTTTCCAACACGACATGACATAACTCAAAATAATGACCATGACCACTTATCAATGTGGGCAAGCACTTCAGCATTATCAACCACATAATATCAATCACACACTTCCCCAGTGGCTCTATGGGACCCTAAACTTGACAAACCCATTGGGTTTTTAATTAAAGCAAACATTACCAGAAGTCAGGAGAAAAAAAATAGTGTGATGTCAATTAACTCCAAAAAAGAAAGAGACAGCTGTATTAATGTTCAGTTCAAACAGAATACACTATTTGATCATCAAATCCTTTCCTAGAAATGATGCTGAAAAAAAGTAGGAATATATTACACATCTCAGAATGAATTCCTCTGGTCTATTACTTGTGGTTGGCCTCATGGAAAAAGAGTCTCTATATGGTAATACTCTCAAACTTAAACAGCCTTATGAAAACACAGGCTACAGTAACAGTAAAAGGAAGACACCCCTGTGAAAATCTCCAAAAATAGGAGTGCACCAACCGATCGCCATCTGATCTTAATGTAATATATATAGTATTTGTCTTAATGCTGCACTGCACTACTCTAATAAACATGTGCTCAGCCCTTTGCTCAACAAATAAAGATGTGAACACAAATCAAACTTTTCATTTCAGTTCTTAAAAGACTGTATGCTGTATTGAATTCAGCGTGCACTTATTTTAGTCTCTAGCTAGTTCACTACAAAAACAACACAAATACAACACTAAACATAAGCTGTCCACATTAAGGTCATGTTGCAAGTCACATCATTCTGAAGGGATTCCTCAATAGCTTGTGAAGGCATGGACGCCAGCCAAGATTACTAGATCTATTTACAAAGCCACACATGACATGCAGCCAGAAATCCTGTTAGCAAGTCAACAGCAGAAGCACACGCTGATTCATGCGCTCATTCCTGTTTTCTGAATTGTGTAGACCAAAAAAGATAAATAAATAAATAAAACTTGGCTATACCAAAACACATTTTAAGTAGCATTAAAATCATGTAAATGCAAACAAAACTACTGATTAAAAGGTAATGCATGTCATTTCTGTAATTAAAATTAAAATGTTGTGTCATTAATATGGTCATGAATTGTATATTATAAATAACCTTTCCTGTGTAATTTTTTTTTTGCACATTATGAATGGAGCCAAGAAAGCGCTCAAAGAGCACTCCCCTACTAAAAAGCTGTCACTTATCTTAGTTCATCGCAATCTCACAAATCTACGTTATAATCACTGAAGCTCTACACTGCACAATAATCTCTTATTAACATCGTGTCTACACTATCTTTGTCATAACGAGAGGATTCACTAGTGTGTAGGCTACAACTCAGCACTGACAAAACTCCAGCACACTGTTGCCAACTATCTTCAATGGAAAGTAGCTAATGCCTACGTGAAAAGTTACTAAATGGTGCTAGATGATGTAGTATGCTAATAGCATATCTATTAAGTCATTGTGTCGTATTTGCATTTTGCTTGGTATCACTCCTTTTCATCGGTTTGCTTCTCTCCTACTGTATTTCAATATAGCCGAATTCCCATTGAAGCTGTTCTCGTTTCGTTTTTTTGCTGTCAGACAACGAAACATGAAATTCAGTGACTGAAACACGACCCGTTATGCATGTTGACCAGTAGTCACTTCCAAACCATTTCCAAGCTGCTGCTCTGCACCATATCCTGATTTACAACCGTGACATCGTCTGACAAAGTCACCATATACATAAGCTAAAGACAATGGCTGTATTGTTATTTCGACTATACTTAAAATCAACAGATATGTGTGATCTGATTGCTACATTGCTCAACACTGCAAAAAGACGCTGTAAATAGAAATGTATGACCAGTGGAGATTGTAATATGAAAGCCCCGGCCCACAAGTTTTTTTTATTTTTATTAGTTACATGTTTGTGACGGTAGGAGACAGGTTTCAAACCACGTCTTTGGTAGTACACTGCAGGTTTAGGGAGAAACTTTTCAGCAATGATGTTGACTGATGAATTAGCACATGGTTTGTCTTTAAGCATATTAAAAACACTAGACAGACATGTAAACAATGTTAAAAACTTGAGTTTCATCACAGGGGGGTATTTAAAACTGTGTTTACAAGGATACTAACAAAGATGGGCATTTTGTGAAGTGAAGTGACGTGAAGGCCAAGTATGGTTACCATACTCAGAATTGGACCTCTGCATTTAACCCATCCAAGTTAGAGCACACACATAAGAAGAAGTGAGTAGTTCACACAACACACACACACACAGAGACACACACACACACACACACAGACATAGACACAGACACACACCATGGGCACACTCCAAGAGCAGAGATTATTTGATACAGATATATAGTGTGTGTATCTGACCGATTAAATTGCATGAAAAAGAAAAGAAAAAAATCAACTCAGTTCACTACTGTCTGTGTGTGTGTTTCAAGTGTGTACATTCAAACGGTCTTCCAAACAGTGCACACTAGGGCTGTCAAAAAAAAATTCGAATTTCGAATATTCGTGAAATAAAAAAAAAAAACATCCACATTCGAATGCAAAAACGTTGCATTCGAATTTAAGGTCTGCGTCAGCCGTCAGGCAGCCTTATCAGTGACGCACGAGATGCGATGACGATGTGTCATTGATTGCATTTGAATGCTTTTGTTTAGGGGTGCTCCGATCAGGATTTTTGAGACCGATCGCCGATCACAGAAAGCAGTATCTGCCGATACGATCACCGACACTGATCTTTTTAAAGCCTTCTTTTTATCATGTAGAATTATTTATAGTGATGATCCAATCAAGATTTTTAGAGAATTATTTTAGGGCTTGAATTTCGTTTTTAAAATGAATTCCCCTCTTATGTGACTCTTGTGAGAGGGGATTTTTTTATTTGAGGGGTGGAGGGGGGCATTTTTTTAGACATTTTTCAAAAATATATATTTATCTCACCTAAATGTTTGATCATTTTTGTTTTGACCCCGGATAATCGAAAATGGGCAAAGAGGCGTGAGCTGGTTGCTGAAACCACGCCCACCTAGCTCGACGGTGACAGCAGCAGCAATCCACCTGTCACTCAAGTGGCCACGCCCTTAATTATGCAGA